GCCGGTGAGATTTGAACCGCTGAACTGCAGATAGCAGTCAGCTGAAGTGGCCTGCAGTACTGCACCCTAACCACTGCGCCACCTCGGCTCTTCCAAGCAAAGCATCCCATTTTCCATGCTCCATGGGAGATGGCCAAGAGTGAAGTTCAAGGGGGAAGGGCAGCTGGCATCAATGTCACCAGTTCCCTCCAATGATCGATCAAATGTTGATAGCGACGAAAGATCTGTGCTTTTCAACTCTTACCTTTTTCTGATTTAGCCTCATGTTCAGCTTAATTCAAATCAACTTCTTTTGAAGATCGCGCAACGATAGGGCTGTTTCGAATAATACATGCCTTTGATCAGTTTTTACCTAATCTGTGTGTGCAACATTCCTTATTTACGGGTTTTTGACTTTTCAATAGGACAATTGCATTGCAGAATTCAAAGAAGCACCCCATAAGGCAGAATATTCACTGGAGAAGCGCGAGTCAAATAGGAAGAGTGACGCGGTGGCCTAGAGGTGGCGCTCTCACCCCACAATCAGGAAGGTGTGAGTTCAATCCTGGATAGAGGCAGATATTTCTCTCTCTGGACACACTGAGAGAATATCTGCTGCAGTGGTAGGTTGCAGGTGGTACGGCCTGGTACGGGCAGGAGCCTGCCCGGAGCACCGGATACCATTCCGGTACGGTGGTCCAGAGGGCTCACCCAACCGCCTGAGCTCCTTACTGGTCTTTTACGTCTTCAGTGCTTCCGCACACATGCACGGCGCATACAGTGCCTGCGCGACGCTCCGCTGAGCAGCTGGAGCATCGTGGAGGCTCACAGAGGCACTAAGACACATGTGTCACACAAACTGCCCACATTCATGTGGATGCCACTGGGCCCGTTCCAACTGTACCAGTGGAATGGGATCCGGAACCCACCATTAATCTGCTGAACAAAACTCCGCATTGGCAACAGGAAAGACATCTGGCCAGTAAAACTCTCTCTTAGATCCATTGAATTGAATGAATTTATAGGCCGCCCAATCCCGAAGGACTCCGGGCGGCTTACAACAAATAAATTTTAAAAAATGGAAAGTTAAAAAACGAGNCTTGATTGTCTATTTAATAACAATATACCTTTATGTAATCACTTATCTCATTCTGATTATTTTACAGTGTAAAAGAATTTTCCAAATGTTTATGTTTATACATCACTACTTTCAATTATTTTGCCATTGTTTTGACCTAGCCTGCATTAATTAGTTTTATTAGTAGTATTCTATTATCATCAGCTGTCATATTATAGCTATCAGCTATCAGAAATGACAAAATTGTTATTCATTACATCAAAACATATATGTTGAATGGGAAGGGAAACATTTTTCTCGTCATTTATATATTTGTGAAATGCTTTGATTAATTTCTTCATTAGAAAGTAATTATTTCCATGCCCATACTCGCACATAAAAATCCCAGCTTTACTTATGGTCTTCACTGGTAAAAGAAATGTTCTCATTCATACTGTGATTGTCCAGTCCAGTGTCTATTCCCTGGCAGTAGGATCTAAACATTGAGTTCTACACAAAATAGCATAACTTTGTAAACCACCTAAAGAAGTACATTTACTGGATAGGTTAGAAATGTATTAAATAACTTTGCAAAGACTAAGACCCAGTGAACGGACTTACTTCTGTGTATGCACAAGATTGGACTGAAAGATTGATATATCAAAAAGGGCATTCTGTAGTATAAACCCTTTTCTGGTCATCCTTAAGACTGACTTTTACATTTTCACTTCAAATGTTTTCTGCTGCTCATCATAATAGTATTGATTCAATTAAGTATATGAGAAGCTAGTTACATCTTAATAAACTCTAGGAATTGCTTATACTTTGCCACACTT